GTCATAGGTGTAATAGTGTGCAGTTACAACCAAATTGCTCATGGCTTGTACAACCCTCAAGGTGGGGGAGGTCTCAGGTTACATAGTATATCTTATGTATTATCTCTATAATATAATAACTTTCATTTGGTTTTAATCTGCAGGTTCTGCATATTGATATTTGACTCACTTCATCATGCTTCTTATGAGAAGGAGGTGTCTGCCCTTAAAGTGTAAGTATTTGATTTACTCATTTCAACACATGTGTACTGTTTGTATAAATGTATAGTTTGACATATTTTTAGCTCCGTTGTTGACAAAGTTGACACAGCGGAGCTGTTAATATTACTGATTGTCCGTCGTCATCATCAACTTTACATTTTCAACTTCTTCAAAAAAAAAACTAGTCAGACAAAACTAAATTTTATATACAAGTACCTTGGGTGGTTCTCTCTCAGATTTATTCATTTTGTGTCCAAATCTCAAAATCTCTAGTTTTGGTGAATATTTTTGTCATTTATGGTCAAAACTGATTTGTTTCACTTCTTCTTCAAGTCAGAATGCATTTAAGTTTGACATGCAAGTGTCTTACGTGGTTCTCTCTCAAATTTGTTCATTTTGTGTAAAATGTCAAGTTCTATATTTCTGGTAAAATATTTGATGTTTTGACTATATTTCAAATGTGTCGTAATGGTACATTTCATTATTACAGCATAGCTATTTCAGCCAATAACCTGCTTATCTTTTCTAGCTTAGACATTTAGACTTGCAGTTGGGGGGTTGAAGTGGTGCTAGTGCCATGGTTCATTCGGCAAGCATGTCACTCCTTTCATGCCTCTTTCTCCCCTGCAGTGATGTTCACTATATGTATGTGTTCAGTTCATGGTCCTGCATGATTTCATATGAATTCATTATTTAGGGAACTGTCCTCTTCAATGACTTGTGTATCACATAAATTTGACAAGCTTACATATTATTTCCTATAGCTATCTGGAGAAAGAATGGCAAAACAAATGTTGTTATTTTAAATCCTTCAATGATATTGAAGTAGTGATTGGGAAATGTCCAAGGCAGATGGATGGTACCAGCTGTGGAATTCATTTGATTCACAATGCCATGCAGTTTTTAAGGGTACGGTATATCCATAGTTTTGTCACAATACAGTAAAATGTTGTATGGTTTTCAACTTACCGGTACTGAGTGCAATTTGAACCCTGGTCAGCATTACAATTTATATTTTTAGTGATTTTGAATGCATACTCACTCAGATGTAAAACACAGGCCACTTTTTCACTTCCAAGAGCTGTTAGTGGATGTAGGAAATTGATTATGTATTGATTCAAATGCACAGTGAAATTATTTGCATTGAGAATTTCGCATAACACTGTTCAATCAGTGATTTGACACTGTGATCTTTGATATAAGAGAGCTCATATGGCCTTTGATTTCAAGGTCAACTTAACATTTTTTGGGGCACCAATCCCCCCTATTTTCAAGGGGTTAGGATCAACTTCAGAATGTATACATTAGACCCAACCTCTTTCTTTGTATCACGTCTTCCACAGTGATAAGTGAGCTGCGAGATCGCAATATTCTTACTCCTATTGATCCTGTGGGCGCATCAATGAAAAGTATCGTAATGAGACAGTGAGAAAGTTCAGTGTAGCTGCGTTATGAATGTGATTGCCTTGCCTCAACTTCAGCCCACCATTACTTGTAACCTTGTTGTGATATTATGTATCACACAAGCATATCCATGTTTATGAATAACAGTGACTTAATACTTTGTTCCTTTAACAGCATCCAAGCCATATTCTTCATTATAACAACGAAGCAATTCAACAGAAAAGAAGAGCTATTCTCAAATTTCTAAAGGATGAAATTGCAACCTTTGGTATGCATTACAATTTGCATTTAATTATTTCCGATTGGAATTTTAAATAAACATGGTGTATGTGATACTTAGTCCCTGTCTCTTATGATTGATGACAGGCATATTTTGCCCATCCTTAACTGTTTAACATTTAACATTTGCGTGTTTTTTTAATTTCAGTTTGATGAATAGTGAATAAGTGGTTAAGTATAAATTTGTTTTCTCTAGACGTGGTAGCTCAAACTCTCCAAGTACAGCTTCATAGCTTTCTTTCCTATAGATATTATTCTTTAAACTATGCACACATACTTGCGTCGCTTTGATTTCTCCAAGCATAGCTTCATAGCTTTGCTTCTCTAACTCTTCAAGCATAGCTTC